GTGTGTGAGCATGAGTAGTAGTCCAGAGTCAGCAGTTGAGGGCTTTGAGGTAAAGGCTGGGTAGCAGGCGGCCAGAGAGCTGGGCAAGGAAGTAACATCTTACCTGTGGCTTTCGGGAGCTGCACAGGCAAGCAGCAGTTGCAAGATACAGGATGATGGCCTGAAAGTATTTGACATGGGACTACAGTATATATGGTTGAGAGGATTATGATGTGGAGAGATCCCAACAAGACATGGTTACTCTTTATACCCCTCTCTTAGACTGCCCCAAGGACTGGGTTAGGAATGGTTGGGTTGACCTTATTCCTCTCCCTTTATTTCTGGCAGCTCTAGTAAAGTAATCTTCAATTACTTCCTCAGAATATGTAAGTGTTAATAGGGACTCACTGAGGGATAAAACCTATTGATCCTTGTGCTTGGAGCACTTTCAGTGCTGGTCTCTGAGCTCATGTTACACAGAACATGCTCCCAGACCTATAAAGGAGTCTGGTGTATCACAGCAGTACCCTGCAATGGGGTTGGGTGCAATGCATTATGGTTAAATAAACAATAAGTGGAGTAAGATGCATACCTTTTTAGTGAATTGAACTGACAGCATGATAGAAATGAATTAGTTGGGCAAAAAGCTGTGGTAGTTTGAAATATGGTTAAAAATTGAATATGTGATTAAAATATGACATATTCTAATTCAGATACCATTCCTTTTTCCCATGCCATTCATCTGAGGTCCCGATTCAGGAAGGCAATCAAATATTTTCTTCCATGTATTTGTATTCTGGTATGCATTAAACTTGTGCTTTTCTTTAAGCATCTGCTTAAGTCCATTGACTTCAGTAAGACTTGAGCCCATGCTCAAAATTAAACACATGTTTACTGCTTTCCTGAATCAGGATGCTGTCCTGAAACAGGTCTGCAGAATAGACAGTAGAAAACAATTGATGTCAACTAAGAAAATTGTATGTTTATTTAAGTTCAGTATTGCAAGCATGATACATCACAAAGGTGGTGCATTAGAGACTCAAAAAAGGGTTTGAAAACAGATATAGGAAGTTATCTACATATACTTAGATCTGTGTGCAAGGGCAGTGGCTGGTTTTATAAGGTTCATGTATATGTATCTGAAAACATGAAGTCCTAAATGGAAACTACAACAACTAAAAGCTTTAGAATCTGAGCCTTCCAAAAAGAATAAAAAATGACCTGATTGTGGATCCTTGAGGGTGGAAAAGTGGAAATGTGCAATGTAACTAGTTTATGATCTAGAAAAAGATATAATGAAATGCAGAATATATGTGAAGTCTAATACCAGATATAAATGCATTTAGACATAGGCAGTTATCATTCAGAAAATGCAGTGCTGAATTCCAAGAAAAATCCCAGTTGCACGAAGAAAGAAGAACATTTTGCTGATAATGTAACAACTAAGTCTCTAAAATGCTAATAATTTTTTCAGAAACCAAAGCATAATGTATGCAAGTGCTGAATGTCTCTACGGAAATCATTCACATCCAATTTTACAGAAACGTATCTATTTTTAAGTATGCTACTCTGAAACCTTCAGAAAGGCACATACAGATATTTGATGTAGTGTGCTCTCTCTCTCTGTGACCCCACATTATTGTAGTATGTGCATGTGTCCAAAGTATTTAAAAAAATAGATTCTGAAAGGCATCTTAATATCAGATTTCCAAGAATCCTATGGAAATATAAGTTGATTGGTAGTGGCAGCGTGGTGTCAAAAATACAGTTGATGACTATTGTGAACATAGTCTTGGATGGGTCCGTTAGAATGGCAGAAACAATGTACCATAAGCTGCTTTGTGAAGAATGTGCTATTTTTAATTTACAGATTTTGCATTGCTTCTAGACTGGGCTATAAGCTATTGAGAAAACATTAAGTACTGCTATCTTCTGTTCTGTAAGCCACATTTTTGGAGGGGAAAAAAATCTGTTAAATAGGTGGGAAGTGAGCAAAGTCTGATAATACTATTATAAAGCAATCAGCTGCTCCCAAGGTAGTATTGTTCATTCTCCTAACACAATTCTATATTGCTGTAACAGCTAGTATTACACTGGTATTCTACCAAAATAATAATAGTGTAGGCACTGCACTAGCATAGCAACATTGAGGTACTTCCATGAAATTAGAGTTTCACAGAGTATTGTCTTACTTTTACTATCACAAAAGTTTTTCAAACTGAGTATCTAAAATGATTCTCTTAAATTCATAATTATGTACCTAAAATAACTGACTAGACTCTCAGAGGACCAAGCACCAATATTGAAGATACACAGCATGTCTAACAATAAAACCATTTATTTAAATTCCTCTATCCATATAATGAGGCACCAAGGTTTGAAAAAAATTGATTAAGGTGTTTAATAACAATGCAGGGACACCTCCATTACCAAGGGGTGAATTTGGGCTGGCTTATTACCTTTTCTAACTCAGGGTTGAAAAATCTTGTGATGCTGCCTGTTATAAAACATGTACTGCCAGATATATTAGGTCAAAAAATCAGAGGGGTAGCCGTGTTAGTCTGAATCTGTAAAAAGCAACAGAGGGTCCTGTGGCACCTTT